CGTTTTTGGACTCTCACACCAGTTTTCTCCACGTGGGGGATTTTTTGAGAGAGGGCACCTCAACCCCCAAAAACCCCCCAGCGTCTTTGGGGGGCTGGGGAATTCTGGGAATTGAAGTCCACATCTCTTAAAGTTCCCAAGGTTGAGAAACACTGGGTTAGACCCTCAACCAGGATTGAAACAAGAAAAGCATGATACAAAAATTATATCCTGCAAGTTGTAAGAAGCCAGCTATGAGGTTATTAAGAGTTAAGGCCAGTTCAAGTTGAGGCTATATCTGCATCTCAAATCATGGTCAATCTACCAGAGAGTATACGTCTTTACTTCTACAGTTTCTCCTTGCAAATGAAAAGAGTGTCCAGGACAGTCTTTTGCTAATGCCACCTGGTTTGTCAGCAATGCCATTCCTGGAGAAGTCAGGCCTAGCTTGGAATCCTTGAACCCACCAAGGTGGGCAATGTTTGAGGGGTTCAGAACAGCAGCTGAGTCTCCATCTGGTGATGCTGTGGCCAGAAGGCTTCAGCTTCATGGTGGGGATGAAAACCTTTGAGATCAGATGGAACAGATGTGATACAGCTATCGGAGGGGGCTTACACCTTCTCCCTCCCTCATTCCCCACCCCACAATAAATCTTGACCGTCAGGAGAGGAATACTTATTTTTGGCTTCCTCGATTCAGTCAAATGATGGCACCATGTAGACAATAATAATACAACTGGTCCAGTCAATTTGGGATATCTGTCTTTAGAGTTTCGCGGCCATCGGTTTGAACTATTGCTCCACTGAAGCCCAGAGAATACGCTGCAAAAATTCTGAAGGGTCGGTGTCTGAAAGGAGTTCTCCTACCTGTTTTTTGTGTGTAAATCCCCAGATGGCGGCTGCCACTTCAAGAGCAAATATCACGAGAAGGAAGGTGAAAAACTAAGGAAGAACAAGACAGAGAGATGTTTGCAGTCAGGTCAGGACTGAACACTTTGGAGAAATGCAGAGGTATTACTTAGTTCTCTATAGTTAACAGGATGCATTAACATAATATGAATGTGCTTTGCATGTTTTGTCTCAGCTACATAAACAGAGGCTTCGCGGATAAGGCAGGCTACTTTTTTAGGGTAGGCGGATGGGCTGAAAGTAAGTATTCTGGCATAGATTGTTATCGATAATATCATTGTTAGATTTTTATACGGCTCTTCCTTCCGAAGACGTTCAGAGCAGGGTAGAAAAAAGGCCAACAACCCTCTCCTGTAAGAACAGTTTGGTGTAAGCAATTGACAAGCTCCTTCAAACTCAGCAAATCCATGAGAGTCTTAAAAGGCAGCAGTTCACCAAGCGGAGGCAGGACAGGGCTGAACTGGGAGCTCCACACCGGTGCTCCTGCAACCTAGGATGCCCCACTGGTTGGGGCCGCTTTCAGGATAGCCCCACACCGCTGCCTCGGACACCCAAGCTCACATCAGCTTTCTATGGGGAGGGGATCTTCCGTTTTCCTTTGGGCATCGGGGGCCACAGTGTGTTGGGCCACACCACACAAGTCCTCAGGGTTGGCGCTGCCCTGAGTTTGCTATTGTGGGGGGTGGGAAGTTAGTACAACTCCTCTTAATGGTCCCACGGGTGAAGACAAAAGAGCTCCAGCTTTCTCTTTTTCAGTTTCCGTCTTTTTCTCAATCGGGGCAAACCTAGTCTTCTTTTTCCGAATCTCGCTCTGGATCTGAGCCTCAAAAGTGGACAGTCTCGAAGGTGACCTGGGCCAGGTCAGGCCATCAGCTTCCCAACAACTTCCTGCTGGAAAGCCCTGAGATGCTATGCCAACAGGAGTCACTTCTGTGGCACAGAGAAAATCCCAACATGTGCCATCCGCTGTCTTTGGAGCCTATCTGGGCATACATAATGAATGAAATGTCCTGAATTTAAACATTAAACATAGGCTTTATCTTTAGACTGGGAAAAGCGGAAGCTCGAGCAATGAAATGGACCAACCTTAAGGCAGCATCCTACCCGTGTGTTTGTGTGAACACTTACCAAGCCAAGCATGCACTGGGACTCCTGTATGGCTCCGCAGCACCCCAAGAAGCCCACCAGCATTATGAGGGCACCGGCTCCAATCAGAATGTAAACCCCTGGGTTGAAGAAGGAGAAGAAAGAGAAGATCCTTGTGCTGAGTAAAAGGGTCGTGTCGCATGGAAGCTGCTAAGGCCCCTGCTCCTTCGGGCACCTTCGGTTAATGAGCTCAACTAAGGGGACCCTTCTGTGTCTCTCCAGTGCAGATGCACCTGAAGGTTGACGCTACGTTCTGATGTTGCGAGGAGGAAACGTTCGGTCTTTCTATGCACCTTTCCAAGCCACCACCCATCTCTTTAGACTGCTACCCACCTCTTCTGACTTCCCTCTCCTCCGGGCTAAAAAGTCTCAATTGTTGTTCTGTTCAAGGGAGCAGACAGGTTTGGGGAGGAAGGGCAACAGCTCAGGGGGGTCTCTTGGAGGCAGAGCTTCCAGGAGGCCCCACCACCATGGGGGCAACCAGAGCTGGGGTGCAAGAATGTGGAAAATCACCCGAGGCAGCAAGGAGGTTTCTGGAGATCACCCTTGTCAGTGTGCCCTGAGGCGGTCTGCTTCGCTCACCCGCTGCGGCTTCTACCTGGCGCTCTCCCCCACCTGCCAAGCCGATGCTCGGGTTCCTCTGTGGGCTCATTATCCCTCATCAGCTATTTAAGCAATGACCCTTTAAAGGCATTTGAGGTTCTATAAAAGGAACACGGTAGAGTTTTCCTACCGAGGCTGAATGGCAATGCATACAATTAAAACCCAGATTATTTGCTCTGCCTGGCTCTGAAGTGCTTGCAGCCTCTGACAAAATTGGAGAAAGCCTTTATTATGGAGTGTTAGATATGTTTCTCCTGATCAGAATTAGAGTCAGCAAAGGATTCCCTTTAGATCCTCTCAAATAATATTTTTAAAAGTTTCACTCTCTCCCTTTCTGTGCTGACCATGCAATCCATTTGAAGGAACACTGGCACATACTTTTGGGGCAGGTCCATGTGCATTTTCTTCAGCTATTATCGCTATGGTGAGCCAGTTACTCTGAAGACACTTAAAGATCTTAAAGTTTTGGTAAACGAAATCCCCCAAATCTGTTTTATGTTTGAACACGTGGCGACTGTTAATTGAGGAGGTACTTGTGATCTGTCTCACAGGGAGCCTGCATTGCATGGCCAAAGCATCCCCCCTTCCCTTCGCCCCACCTCACCCCAGTTTAAATCCTGCCTCAGGCCAGCCCCTCTGGGCCTCTGAGGAAGGGAGCTGAAAGCTTCTGCCTTTAATAAAACGTGTTAGTCGAAAAAGGGGCTACCAGACCCCCCCCCCCCGATTTTCTGCCACCGGAGACCAACACGGCCCTCCTCCCACAAGTTCCCCAAATCTGGAATCTGGGGTGGGATGTATCACACGTGGACGGTTGCAAAAAAGATGAAGATGCCCCAGGTTGGCTTAACAAAACTCGCAGTTCTCAGCCTTGAAACCAGCTCGCGTGGAAGGAGAGAGAAGAAACTGAAGGAAGTTACATAATTGTAATTACCTAAGATAGGCGGCAATTAGAATTTAGGTGTGGTTTTTTGTTTGAGTTTTCAGTTCTACTTAATTGGTTGTTTACTTTTTTGATTGATTTTTTTTCCCTTGGGCCTTTTTTTTTTTGGCCCCCCCCCCCCCGTGCTTTTTCCCTAGAATAGTTTTTCCCCTCCCTTTTTCCCCTCTCAGTGTCTACAGTAATTCTTTCTATAATAGGCTAGGTTTCTTTTTCAAAGGATACAATTTTGTATACCTTAGTTACCCCGTTACAATAATGTTGCTAGTTTATACAACCCAATACAAACTTGTAACCAAGGTTTTTTTTTGTTTTTTTTTTAAGAGATACAAACTCATAACCAGGTTCTTCCAAAGAAGTGCAGGCTGTAACCTTTAGAAAGCATTCATAAGATTCTACGGACGGAGAGCGACCTTCTCCCGTGGGGGTGACTCAGCCTGGCAAGGGAGGACAACCGGGTCTGGTTTTCCAAACCCCGAAGGCCCTCGGGCCGACCCCGGCCGTCGTCCGTGGCTTGACCACACCCACGCCACCGGCTGCGATCTCTCCTGGCGCCCCCTCCTCGCTTTGGCGGCCCTTTCTGCCTCTCCTCACGTGGGACGATGAGCAGAGCTGGAAGGCGATTCCGATCCCAGCAAAATGCACGGAGCAGTGCCACCACTTTATTTTAAATGTCCTTCCTAAGGGAACGGCCTTTTCTTGACGGCAGCCATGCATCTGTTCTGCCTGCTATTCGGCGGGCTCAGCAGGTCCTCCCAGGATGGTGCTCACATCCCTGCTTTAGCCCCTTCCGCCTCCTCCTCCGCCCGCAAACCCCGCTGAGCTCTTTTCCCACCTAAGCAGCCGAGGACGCCTGCTTGCTTGCTTGCCCTGTCAGTTAACAGCTGCCCGCTTGGCCAGGAGTCTTTTGCTGTTGTTACTAAAGCACTTCCCAGTTGACTTCAAAGGGATACTGAGTATTAGGACCGTGTGTGCCCTAAAAATGGTTCAGGAGGCCTCATGCAAACTCTGAACCTGAAAAGAAGATTTTTCCCGTTTTGAGGACCCAGCTCATGAAAACTGATGCTAACCCATGCCACTTTTTTTCCAAGCTCACACAGACACCTGAAAAAGGGCCAACCGCTTTAACTGATAGTTTTGCTCATGTCAGAACGGAGGCACTTCTTTGAACCTTCTTCAAAAGTGTCCACCGCCCTTGTTAAGTGTCTCGGATATTTGCAGGACATTTTCTTGCATTAAAGGAAATGGTCTTTATTCCAATTATCAGCTTTGTATTTGTCAGGGATTTAAAAAAAAAAAAAAGCATGGAAGATGCTCTTGATGATTACCTGTATAGAAACTTGTATCATTGTGCTCCGATTTAAAGATATCCTTGGTCTGGGAATCAAATCGAAGCCACAGTCCAATTCCGAGGACAGCCGTGCCCGCAAGCTGCAGAGAAGGAAAGACAAAGAGGCCCAATGCTTGATGCTGCTTGAGTCCCCCACTTTGCTCAGCCCACCCTGCCCAGTTCCCCTGGACTGTTCCTGAGGTCCTTGGAAGGAGTTCTTCAGAAAATGGTCCTTAGGGGACATCACTGGGAGGAAACTGCCCCCCAAACTGCTAATTGATGACAAGGGGGGGGCTTCGGAGGTGCTCTCAGACTACATGAATTGATCAGGCATGCCCACTGGAAGATGCGAGTAACCCCAGCTTCCTCCTCCAGCTGTCCTAAGTCTTGATCTGAGGAACCCAGAGGCAGCTGAAATGACTGACAAATCCATCCAGAGCTCATCTCCCCTCTCGCAACACCCACTTCAGGAGCAGAGAGTAAAACAGCAGGAAGAAAGAGGGTTAGCAGAGGAGGAACACTGGAAGGAATCCAACCAAGCCCAAATTCAGGGGTCCCTCACGGCAGCAATGGAGGCAACGAAGGGTGCTTATTCTACGGCACCTGTAAAATGAACCCCACGTGACAAAGAGGATGGAAAAGCCATCAGCTCAGCGGAGGAACGGCATCACCCTCTGTGGACAAAATGAACTGCACCTGCCTCGACTCCTACTCCTGTTTCGGGGTCTTGTCATGGGGATGTAACTCTGGGAAATCCTGCCATTTGGGATTCTTTTCACCTTCCCAAGAATGTGGTGAGGTCCTTGGAGGGATGAGAGCTACTGTGTGTTGACTTAACCTTGCCTCCAGGAGTTCTGGTGGTGACTGAATTTCCAAAGGGAAAACAGACACCACTGTGGGCCCCTTTAAACATCTGCCAAGCATTCAGCCAGGCGGCATCATAAAAGTGACGGTCTGACTGTTTACAGAGTTTTCGCGATGACTGTACCTGGGAACGACACCCAACCCCTGGTTATTGAATGCCTGTACCCAGCTCAGCTGTAGTTCAACAGGGACCGCTAAGATTCGGCTTCAGGAGTCGTGCACCACTTTCCTATGATGGAGGATTTTTGCCACTCGGATTCTGAACCCTCTCACAGTTTTCGCACTTTCAAGTCAAGGTCGCAGTCCTCCCCGCTCATCTCCCCAGCCTAGATAAGCCACGAGCCCCGCAGTCCTGCCTCGTCATCCCCCGGCTGACGGGTGTCACTGTTTCCATTTCCCTCTCTGTGCAGATTCCTGCACCGCGGTCTGGAGCCATCGTCACCAGCCCTGAGAAGGCGCATGACTGTACAACAATGGGTCATGCCATCATTGCAGCTTTCAAAAGGAGAAGAACGCAGAAGTAAATCCAAGTAAAAACAGCTTGTGGAAATACAGTTCATTGTGTTCAGTGAGGCTTATTTCCAGATATCACCATTGACGTGATGCTGGCATTTATATCCCGCCTTTAAGCAGAGTGGAGGGGAGGGGTCGGTCCTCCCTTAATTTTCCCCCCCCCCCCGTGGAGGTTGTTTTCCAAGGACCGGACACACCACAGCGTAGTGTATCTGTACGCAATGCTTTATTGCAGCGCACGCCTTCCCCAACAACAGACTCTTGCTCTCCACCCATCTAGGACATGCAAAGAGATGTGGCCACGTAAATACGTCTTTAATACTCAGTCCTTTAATACTCAGTCCATTCAAAAGTCTCAGAGTCCATAAAGCAGCCTGCAACCTTTGCCTTTCTCCAAACGCTCTTGCGCTCGCTGGGATGAGGGGCTCCCTCGGAGTGGTGGTTCCTCTCCTAGTTGCTCCTGAGCTCCCGGCAAACTCCCCGCAAGAGCCCCACCGGGATAGGCCGCTCCCCATAACACGGTCCTGGCAATTGACCGATTGGTCCTCCCGCCTGCCTGTAAGAGCTGCCAACCTTCAGACGTTGCCTCCGCTTCCCTGTCTATCTGGGTGTGCTTATCACCTTTCCTCTCATGCACACACACACACACACACCTTCCCACTCTGTTTTAGCATTTGCCTTTTAAGCTAAGAGCCTGGGCGGGGTGGGGCTCCTTGAAAACGCCCAGTTGTTACACCCGAGCAGCCGGAACGCCGGCCTGGATGCCTGTGAGTAAAGTTGGCATTAGGGCCGTGGGGCGAGAAGCGTCTCTGCTCGGCTGCAGCTCCTTTTCCCAAGCGCAGACAGCAACCCCGCCTCCACTCCCCCATGCTCCCCCCAGACCCAAACACAGAAAGACCCCGAGAGGCGGGTGGACTGGAAGAGGAGGCTCGTGGCTCCCAGCGAGCTCGGTGGAGGAGCAGGGCCTTGAATCTGCGTCTCTCCAGCCCACTTCGCGGCTGAGCAAAGGCTCTGGGCGCAAACGGAAATCCGAGAGAATCAGGGCCCCGTAATAAAGGAGCAGGCGTGGGTGGGAGCAAACACTGGTCAGAAAACAGCAGGTAGGGGAGGAAAAAAAGGAAGCCCTGCAAAGCGGGGGCAATTGAGACCGTGAATCAGACATTGTCTGAATAGGAAGAGCCCAGAGGAGCATAAGAGAGCTTTCAGGAAATTCGGATTATGTTGGTGGAGCTCGAGTGGCCAAAAATAAACAATAATTAAAATTAAGTTTAGACTTGGAAAACAACACGGCAGAGCAGGAACATCTTCTCCTCGCCCTGAGAAAAACGGACGTTCTCCTGGATCCCCGCTACCAAAGGAGAGCCGTGTGGGACCGAGGGACGAGCGGACAACACCAGAGGCTCACTGACAACACACAGCGATGGGGTGATGCGTCCTTCCTACGCAGAGACAGACACACACCTACGATGGTGCATTGTGCGAAGCTGATCCTCCACTTTCCACAACTCAGGGAACCTCTCGATGTTTGGTCACAACTCCCATCACCGCCAGCCATCGTGGCCTTACTAGCCAGAGTCAATGGGAATTTCAGCCCATCGACCAGCATCACCCAGCCCGTCTTTCTGTGGTTCATTCACTAAACCAAAGTCAAGCCGTGGCTCAACATTTGGATGGCTATTTAGTAGCCACCCGACCTGACCCACCGCATGTGCAGTTTTTTTCATAACCGCTGTTGGGTTCTGACTCCCATAATTCCCAGCCACCATAGCTAGACAATCTCGGCAAGCCTATCTCAGTCCCAACAGATGCAGTATGGGCGGTAATAAAGAGGGTTTACCTTACAACTGTTTGAGGTTGGACATTAATTCCCATAATCTCCAGTTAGGTCCCATTTTCTCTCATGCACACCCAAAATCCAGCTCATGCTTAAGGGCATAGAGTCCATGGCCAGAGTTGGCGCCCCTGAAGCCCAGGCCCGCTTCATTCTCCTTTGCGCTCAGGGACTCAGCCTCCAGGCCAAAGGGAGTGGGTGTCAATCCAGTCCATCTGATCAAGGCAGCCTCGTAGCATGGCAGTAGGCCCCGCCCCCTTAGGGTGTGCACCCCACATTGCATGCATGCCAAGGGGAGGGGCAGCTTTCAGGGCCACGCTGCATTTGCATCTTTGGCAAAAGCAGCCAGCGCTGCCAATGCCATGAATGAAATCCACGCATGCCCTGCTCTCCCAGCCCCATCCAGGCTGCCTCCATACATGATGCCGAGCTCGGACATTGTGGCTCAGTGGATGGCACCACGGGTTCATTCAGTAAGCCCAGACGAAAACCAGCCAGATGAAGCACACCCACAAAACCCAGTCATTTCTCCACTTCTCCTCCCAGTTTATTGACGCTTCATGGGAACCGCATCCCAGGGAAGGTGGAAGTCCGTCGCTGAGTGATCTGCTCAGCCGCAGGCCAGTTACCCAGGAGGGCGCGTCGAGCCTTCGTTGGCCAAAGCAGCACTGAACGGGTGCTCCAGCCTTAGACCGATGCATGTACACGTGTATACGTGCATACACGTGCTTGAGCACCCTTGAGAACAAAGGCGGCGAGGCTGGTTTTCTCCACCTGGACACATTGTGTAAGCTAGAGGAAAAAAAGGGGGTTTGTATGGAAAAGGTTGAATCTGCGATTTGCAGGAGGAATCATATATTGCAACTCTGCAAGAGGCAAAGGGAGATAGATGGCACGGGAATTCAGCGGCGATGCACATTTCTTTTCCAAAATTGTTATGTCTGCCTGCCACTCAGCTGTCCATCTCCCAGCATGGAATGGCTGAGAAACCACCAGAGCAGAAACTTTTTTTTTTTTAATTATCGGACATTTCATTCATGACCTGTAAAATCTGGGACAGAGGCGTCCAAGAGGTGGGAGGAGGAAGGCACGCCGGGCCCTGCAGGTGGAAAGGGGAGCTCCCCCTCCCCACAGGGCGGGTCTGGAAGAGGCTCCTGAAGGAAACGCAGAAGTGAGAAGAAGCCGCAGGGGTGGACCAAGACCGGCCAGGCGGAGGAGGCTATTCTCCGAGCAAAAGAGCCCAGCCGCTTGGCCCTTCCCAGCCTGTGACAAACCAAGAATGCAAAGTGAAAGCAAAGAGAACCTGAGACCCCACTTCTAGCCCCTGGAATTGTCCTCCCCATCACAACCCTCATCTCCTGCCGCACAACAGCCCCAGGGCCTGCCTGTTTCAAGCAGCCCTTGGGTCAGAGCCTTTGAGCGCATCGCTGTCGCTGGTTCAGTGGCTCTCCAGAACCCATCAGAAATATTTCGAATTCTTCCAGAATTCCTCCCCACTCCTCCAAGTGGAACAACCCTGTTTCCGAAGAAAAGAAACAAGAGTCTGCTTGCAGCCCACGTGATTTCTTTCCTGCCCCCGGGCATATTTCTTTGGGCTCCCTGCTTCACAAACATGAATATCCAGTAACGAAGCAAGAGGGATACGTCTGAACCGTCTCTCCTCCTGTATTTATCCCAAGCTTTTAATATGCTGCTTATCAATGATCCTAAACTGTTTATTTCTGTTTGTATCAGTCCAAGGATGCAAAGATTCAGTCCATCCAGGAGTCCCTATAATTAAGTCTGTAGACCAGTGTTTCTCAACCTTGGGGACTTGAAGAGGTGTGGACTTCAACCCCCAGAATCCCCCAGCCAGCCTTGCTGGCTGGGGAATT